AACATGAACAGTATTTTGGGGTTTATTTTAATTTAATTTTTAATGATATAAAATATGTAAAGTTACATATTTATCCTTTAAAATTGGTCAACAATTGGTCAGACATTTAATTATTGGTTAACTAACGGTCAAACTGACAGTTTCTGTCAAATTTGGTACCGTGAGTGGCACAAATGAAAGGTTTGGACAAAGTCTGCAAAAATGTGAAAGGTTTGGTATCGTGGCAGCAATTTTCCCTATATTTTATTTTCTGATTTTGACTTTGTTAAATTATTCATAGGCTATTCAGCAGCTGCAGGCTAGAGCACCCCCTCATTCACAGTCCATGGCTAGTATGACTGTGTTCTTGGTCAGTGCTGCTTTGGACATTTTCCAGACTTTGATAATGGATCTGGACACTGAGGGTTGTTATTTATTTCTAAATGCGGTTGCTAACCAATTACGTTATCCAAACAACCACACACATTACTTCTCTTTCATCCTTCTCTATCTTTTTGCCGAATCAAACCAGGTGGGTACAATCTTTACTTTTCGGTTTACTAGGTTGTAGATGATATCATTATTTTTATTGGTTTTCCCTTGCTTTCAAATTCTAAGAAACGGAGAATTTAATTTCCGATTGATGGTCTTGAATCCTCGTCATTTCCCACAATTATCTACTCAAGACTGCATATATAGTTTCACTTTATGTATAAAGCATATATTTCGTAAGCATTACTAGTTTGCACAAGACAATATAACAAACAAGATTTTAACTTATTTTTCTTCATTAGTTGTCAACTACTACCCTCCCTCTCCAAACATGCCGAAAATGAAGAGTACAGATTTGCTGGTTTCTAATGTAATAGTGTTCTAATTTGAGCAGGAAATGATTCAGGAGCAAATCACTCGAGTACTGTTGGAGCGACTCATCGTTAATAGGCCTCATCCGTGGGGTCTTCTAATTACTTTTATAGAGCTAATCAAGGTAATTTATGCTAATCTATTCCACGAGATGAAGTCTTTGAAACGCAAATTGCTTTATTTTTCACACATTTCTGTCTGTAAAACAGAATCCCAGATATAACTTCTGGAGCCGATCTTTCACAAGGTGTGCACCGGAGATTGAGAAACTCTTCGAATCAGTATCAAGATCCTGTGGGGGCCCAAAACCTGTGGATGATGGTGTAGGATCTGGTGGAATACCAGATAACATGCACTAAACTTTGGTTGTACATACATTTTCCTGTTTTATATTTTATAGTTAGTGGCAGATGATCTGGATCGAACGATGTTACTGTAGATAACTATCACCATGTATGTATATTTATTCCTATTTTATTTTAGTTGTGCTATGATTAACATATGTAGCAGCATCTGTTTGCTGGTTTTCCTTGGTACTGCTATTTACAGATAATGCAAGTTCCTTTTATGTAAATTCAGAATGTTGCCCTAATCTTTGCCCCTTGTCCTTGTTCTCTTTAAAAATGGGGCTATATGAATACCTTTTTTGGCCCTTTCGTTTTGTTATTGTTAGATCTATTGGAAGATCGCAACCTGCCATGTTAATTTGCTCGGTGAAGTGCAATTATACGGTGTCAGAATGGGTAGGTCAGATCGGATTGGTCCACCTGCGTCTCGACCTGGTTCATTACATGTAATGTACCTGAACTTTTCTTCTGCAATTATAGTACTTTGCCCGACCGTTTTCAAAATCTATGGACCGAACTGGCCTTTGAACGCTAATATTGCAGGTCAGGCTGGGTAGAATCATATCAATACCTGCAGCTATTTTTATTTGGCTTACGATGTAAAATTTAGCCATATTTGATTAAAAAAAAATACTAATTTCATAATTAATTTTTAGATCATTTTTTTCTCAAATGTTTTATTATTATTATTATTTACACAAATTTTGTAACATTTTATAATCTTATGTTAACGTTTCCTTCGTTATCACCCTTCATCATCACTTGTAACATAATATGCTTTTTGACAGCATCGTTATTTGCACCATCACTATTGTAGGTCCCAATTGTTACACGGACTCACCAGTCAGTAAAAATTATTGTTACATCACTGCTGTTGTTGTAACCACCCTTTGTAACATTTGTTGTTATACCACCACCACCATTAGACCCTGTCTGCGCCGATCACCACAACCACGACCGCTGCCATGAGCAGATATGTACCACCATAAAAAAATAAATAAATAAATAAATAAATGGCTATCACCACCAGCCACGCCACATCATCCCACCACCAAGACTATCATCACCTAGCTGCACCGACCACCATTACCCGAAAAATATAATAAACATCACAAAAAACCAACCTAACAAAACCAAAAATGTAAGGTCAGATCCATCAAAACTAATGTAAAGCGTTTTTATTCCATTTTTCATGCTCTTCCCGATTCCATTTTCTAGCCAAAAGGGTTCTTGAAGGATCAATTCCTGATTTCAGATTTGAAATTTGTTCCCATCGCTTGGTGGTTTCAAAAAGTGGTGGTAGGCCTGGTGGCAGCAAGGTGGAGGAAGAAATGAGTGGTGTTGATAAGCAATGGTGGTGACGACGACAATCAGATCACGAGGTGGTGACTATTGCAAGGGGTGGGAGGGGAGGCAGATTTAGGTTGGGCCAACATGGCAGGTGTGGGTGGCCTACGGTGGGAAATTAGAAAGAAGGTGAAGTGTTTGTCTGGCTGGTGTGTAACGTGTTTGTTTAGTTGAAAATTTTAGTATTTGTTGATTGGTTTAACTTCCACGTTCGAACAATAAATGAGTAACTTGATTATATGATCATTCAATTTTAAGCTAGGAAAGTTTAACTCAATTATATGATCATTCGATTTTAAGCAAGGAAACGATGCAAATCATACGATGTGCTAAATTATTGAAGGTAAGGGAAACGAGTAATGAAAAAGATGAGATATCCAAAAACTTCATCCGGTAAACAGTGCAAGAGACTTGAGACATTAAACACTGCCAGCATACACAATTTTCCATCACATTACTCCAAGCCTAGGTATCTATTCATTACAACCGTTTGGAAAATATATATATGTAAAAAAAATTCTAACCGAAAACATTCTGAGGAAATAATTCATATTTTTATTGGCCACCAACCTCTATCTTAAGCCTCTCTACGCACAAAGTAGAGCTTACCCATGACATGGAGAATAGCAACAAAAGCTATGAATCCGATGCTCATAACAAGCACAACATTGGGAGAAATCTTGAGTCCAGGAGCATCATCAGTGTAGAACTGGAGCATGGTTCCACTAGCCCCACCAGCAGCTCCACCACCAGTTGTTCTCCTCCTACGCATGTTAGCAGCTGCTGCTGCAGCAGTTCCTCTCTGGGGACCACCTCCACCCAAAGCCATTTCTGCCCCACCATTTCAAGCTTTAGAACTAAATTTATAAAGTAAAATCACCCATCCAAAAAACAAGAAAAAAATGCTCGTGAAATGCGTAGTCGTGTTAGCAACCTGTACATCTGAATATTTCACAAGTAATTGCATCATCGGTGGATAAAATACAATGGCACACTAAAGTTATATTATAAACATAGGAGATATGTGCAAGAAATCAAGATTCACTGCCTCAAATTTCCAACTACTTGAGATCTCTTTGATGTACAAACTGAAACAACCAATGCAGATATCTAACAAATTGTCACAGAAGAGCTGGAAAAGCAACCACAAATCTTGTACTTGTGGTCTTTCACCAATTTATATTTCTTCAATCTTCATTATGTCTCAACAAGATTAGTTGAAAATTTTCTTTTGAATATGGAAAGTTCCCACAAATGGGAGTGTCCATGCCCTGCAACTGCTCCCTCCAATTTGTATGGAAGAATGTGTCATGCAGAGCTGGTTTATGTAGTAATTAAAAGGCCAGAAACAAAGAAAAGGAAACTAAAAATTTCTAAATTAATATTTCAATTCACGGTGGTATACTGATATCCATTCAACAATTTGAACAAAAACCACAAATGTTCCCTTTCCCCTTAAGACGATCAAGTTTTATTACTTCCCTCTTCTTATCAAGATTTCACTTTCACTCGTGCTCGGATGCCCAAATCAGGGTTTTGGTAAATCCACACAAACAATATAAGTCGACCTGAATGCGAAAGAAATTTAAGGATATATAAATTTGAACTTTATCTTCGTGTATATCGATTCTTTTCAAAGTCATTTCATTTGCGTAATTTTCATTGTGAGAGTATTTTTAACAGAAATCAAATCATAAACTTTAACAAAAAAATAAGTCATATAATACACAGGTCCAATACCATACCAAAACAGGGAAAAAAAAATCGTAAACTGTTTAATCGAATTTGTACAATTCGATTAAACACACGCTCAGATCTCAAATTCTAGATCTAATAATTCAGATCAGACGAGTCTTTTTGAACACAGTAAAATATATTTAAAAAAAAAAAAACTACAAAGCAGTTTCAAAATCACCCGATCCAGATTTTTTACGGTTTTAATTACATTCAATCACAAATTATGAACGATTTACACAGATTAACAGAAATAGAGACATGAATATGCAGCTAAAATTTAAAAGAAAGAGATAAAAAATTATGTACCTTATTTTACAGAATTGAAGAAAAAAAAAATTGTTCAACCTTTTTTTTTTAAAACTATAAGAAGGTTTGTTTTATTATACGAAGAGAACACATAGCCTTTACCAATCATTTTGTGCCATGTAAGCCGCTAGTGGATCCGACATTTTGCCCGACAAGATTTGGGTCCGTTAATTACGAAAATCTCTCTCCTATTTGAGAGCATGGAACCCTATTTTTTACAAAATTAAAAAAAAAATGTATTTTGAAATTGTGAGGATGTGCGATTAAAAAATAAGATTTTTTTTTTTAGTTTGTGTGTAATATTGTTTTATTCAAAAATATATGATTGAAAATAAAAGAGAGAAAAATGTATTTTTGAAGTGAACGAAAAAAAATTAATTTTTTTCCTAACTTGTATCCCTATATTTTATTAAGCTTTCTTTAGGCAAAATTTAATAAATTATTTATAGGTGGTCAAACTATATTTTTAACTACACACTTTTAATGAACTCATTAGTATTTCACTTATTCATTACCTATTTATATTTATTTATAAAATTACTATGTATAAATTATTTTCAAACAAAGGCTATATTTATTGTCAAATATACTAAAAAGGTACGTACATGTAATATGGTTATGAATGTCAATTGTGGGATTACCATTTTTTTTTTTTTTGATAAACAAAACACATTTCATTAAAACAACTTTAAGAGGGTTACATCAATGCATCATGCTCAATAATCGAATCGTCTGGGTCCGCCCCTGATTTTGCCCGACAAGATTTGGGTCCGTTAATTACGAAAATCTCTCTCTTATAATCTTATTTGAGAGCATGGAACCCTATTTTTTACAAAATTAAAAAAAAAATGTATTTTGAAATTGTGAGGATGTGCGATTAAAAAATAAATTTTTTTTTTAAATTTGTGTGTAATATTATTTTATTGAAAAATATATGATTGAAAATAAAAGAGAGAAAAATGTATTTTTGAAGTGAATGAAAAAAAATTAATTTTTTTCCTAACTTGTATCCCTATATTTTATTAAGCTTTCTTTAGGCAAAATTTAATAAATTATTTATAGGTGGTCAAACTTTATTTTTAACTACACACTTTTAATGAACTCATTAGTATTTCACTTATTCATTACCTATTTATATTTATTTATAAAATTTACTATGTATAAATTATTTTCAAACAAAGGCTATATTTATTGTCAAATATACTAAAAAGGTACATACTTGTAATATGGTTATGAATGTCAATTGTGGGATTACCATTTCTTTTTTTGATAAACAAAACACATTTCATTAAAACAACTTTAAGAGGGTTACATCAATGCATCATGCTCAATAATGTGTGAAACAAAGTTCGGAGGATCATTCTACCACACTAACAGGTCATTGGGATGCCATGAATTCCTAGTTAGACAACGTGCAACTGAGTTAAACATGAAACTTTCATGCCTTACATCAATATTCGGGAATCTATTCACTAACTGTCGAATCTCATCTATCAAGTTCCCCCAAATGGACAGAGATTCGTCATGTACTTTTGTCACTACTTGGACCACCAACAACGAATCACTTACTACTTGTAAATTCTGGATGGACAAAGGTAAGCAAATCTGTAAACCTCTTAGCATCGCTAGGAGCTCTGCCTCTATTGGGTCCATACTACCCTTTTCTGGTTTACTTACTGAGAAAATCATCTTTCTTGTTGCATCCCAGAGACCCATCTCAGTCCCATATCTGCATTGATCCTCAAATAAAGCCCCATCAACATTAAGCTTTAGGGCCCCTTCCAGTGGAGGGCTCCACCATTATCTACGATGGGTCCCTTACTGTTTCTGCTTCTGTGCACATTTAAATCCACCAGCAACTATAAGGGCATGATCAATAGCCATCTGTGGAGTAAATATCTTATGTTCAAAAATGAACTGGTTCCTGCTATACCACATTCCCTACAGGCATAAGACTAGTTCATCTAGCTCACCAGGAAAGTTCCTGTTTATTACTAGATTTACTATATGTGCGATGTCCTGCTGCTCAGAATTATTTTTTAAGAAGCTCAGTTTTGTTGACAGCACTGGTTCAATCCTAGAACAGTATAATAATGCATGATTTATATCTTTTTCCTCTCTATTGCAGAATTTACATCTGACATCTTCTACCACTTTCCTGGCCATGGCCAGTAAGTTTCTGAGTGTTGGCAACCCATTGTGGCAAACTCTCCATGCAAATACACGTATCTTATGGGGGATTTGCAATTTCCAAATTTTCTTCTTACATTTTCTGTTGGTCCTCAGCATAGGACACCTCATCGAGCTGCCTCGAACCATTGTTCTTCACAAACAATCTATAGCCACTCCGAACTGTATAGAAACCATTCTTCTCTGGTTCCCAATTCATAACATCCGGTCTGTTCTGTCCTCCTACTAATTGTATTTGGAATACTTCATAGGTATCTCTAGGGTGAAGCATTCTGGAAACCTTCTCAATATCCCATTAACAAGTGTGCTCATCAATTAGTCGTGATACCGTCTAATCTCTTTGATCTACATTAATTCCATATGGGCAGCTTAGTAATTGATGGTTCGGCAACCAGTAATCAGTCCAAATGTTTATCTCCTTTCCATTACCAACTCGCCATCTACAACCTTTAAATAGCAGTTGTCTTGCCTCCCAAATACCTCTCCATGCATATGATGGATTTGCTCCCAATTTAGCATCTTTAAGGTGTCCATGAGGAAAATATTTAGCTTTGTATATCTTTTGTAGCAATGATCCTTCCTCTTGTAGAATTCTCCAGCCTTGTTTTGCTAAGAGAGCCATATTAAAAGCCTGAAGGTCCTTAAACCCCATACCTCCTGTTCCTTTAGTGTTACATAACTTCTTCCACCCTATCCATCGTATTTTGTTTTCTTCCTTTCTTTGTCCCCACCAAAATTTTGCAATCATACTCTCTAGCTCTTTGCACAAAGATATTGGAAGCTTGAAACAACTCATTGTGTAAGTGGGGATAGATAGCGCAACAGCTTTAACAAGAATTTCTCTTCCACCCTGCGACAAAAGTTTGTCATTCCATCCCTGCAATTTCTGCCATACCTTTGACTTTAAATCTGAAGATGCTTTCCTCCTGTTCCCACCCACCATTGATGGGAGTCCCAAGTAATGATCATAATTTTGGTGGTGTTGGATACCCCAAAAATCCAAAATTTCTCTTTGGGTGGTTGCTAACATGGATTTTCTTCTAAACATGAGGTGAAAAATCTGACCCAACATCCGATTAATTTTTAAACTATTTAGGTAAGAAATTTACATTCAATAATATTCTAAATGACTCTCATAGTTCCATGCTGCTCAAGAGCTTAAAAAATTAGATTTTAAGCGCTATTTGTGGAGAATTTTTTTTTTATATAAATTAATGGAATTAAAAGTAAATTTTGGAATAGGGGAAGTAATGGAGTGTTTCTTTTGGGAACCTTCCAAGTAATTTTTACTTTAATGAGTTGATAAATTGACCATTGAAATTCCGATTTAGAATGGATGTGTTTATTCCCTAAAAGTTCTCTATTCCAACTACCTATTACTAGAGAGAGAGAGAAAAAAAAAGCTAATAAATTCGTGTGTTTTATTAATAATCAAAATCCTATATTTATAAGGAAAGATTAAGACTACAACGGATACAACAATCATAATAATTAAAATTTTAAGGGTATAAAAGCCATTCATAAATACGACTATATTTACAACACTTCCCCTTAAATGACTATTTACATAATAACGATCCAATTGAAACATTATTTGGCAAAAACTCGTTGGGACAAAAATGCCAACAAATGAAAAAAAAAAAAAACAAAAAGAGAGTAATAATAATTTTGAGTAATAAAATGTTGCCTCGTCAAAACTTTGTCAAGAAAATTTAGTGGAGCAAAACTTGATTGAAGGAAAAAGATTACAGCTACTCCCATTATTTCAATTCTTGTATCAAGGTATTCATGTGAACATGCAATTACAAAAGTTTATTAACCGTCTCCATACAAAATATTTATCAATGTTTAATGACTGTAGTAGGGTTAGTAAAAAAATCTGACAAACCCTATACCCGAGGGCCCCGCCCCGAACGGGGTTCGGATAACCCGCTTAATCAGGTATTCGGGGCGGGGATGGGTAACGGGCGCCCCGCCCCGCCCCGTTTAATTTTTTTAAAAAACTTTTTTAATTTTTTTTTAGAATTCAATACTTTAAATGAAAAATTTCACGAAATTTCATTACTTCTAATAGAAAATGACAACTAAATTTATTTGTCTAAATCTAATAAATGTGGACAATAAAAATAAATTATCAAATATTTAAAAAAAATAAAAATTAAACGGGGTTGTAAACGGGGCAAGGACCCGCCCTGCCTTAAACGGGTAACGGGGCGGGGATGGGGTAGAGAATTGCTTGGCGGGGGCGGGGGCGGGGGTGGGGGAGGTTGCCCTGACCCCGCCCCGTTGCCATCCCTAGACTGTAGTACTATGATGATTCAAAAAATAGCTCTTGTTGATCTCTTCGAGAGTTTCGTACATATAGGAGTTAATATGAAGGTAAATGTTTTATATGTTATGGACATTTACTACACAAAAAAATATGTCTCGTTAAAACATTATTAGGAAAAATCGTGTGGAAAAAATTTTAATGAACGAAAAAGAGTACATTATTCTTTTAAGTACGTTACAATTGTCTCATTAAAAACTTTGGCAGGAAATCTCAATGGGTCAAAACTTTGGTCAAGGAAAAAAGAGTATAATGCGTATTTACTCTTCATGATAATATTACTTGAATTATGCTTCAAGCATATTAAAGTTTCAAGGATAATATTAAATTTATATAAGATAAGTTAACTATAATCACATTTATTATATGCATATAAATTTCATGTACTGTTACACAACAAGGTAGATGATTGCGATTACATTCACCACATGATAACTTATCTATTTATACAAATTTTGGTGAAATTCATTATGTAAAAAGTCATACAATTTATATTACGACTTTACTTTTTTCATTTTCAAGTATACACATTTAGGTGTCCAGATTGTAGATCTAAAAATTTCAGATTATTTAGTAATTCAATTTTGTTAGGATTTCATCCACTTATTTGGCCAATAATTTATTCAATTAATATGTTTTGACGAATTCATTTAGATTCATCGCTATTTGTAATATGATGTACTACATCATGTGAAAACATTTTGTTGACAACTTTTTTTCAATTTTATTTCTATTTCCAAAATGACATAACTTATTGAAATATCTCAATTTTCAACATATCAGGTACTAAATCTCTTCTGATGTTTTATATTTTGTTATGTCTAAATACTCATCAAGAGTATATGTCTCCTTAATGAGATCACATTTGTCAATTGCTCAATTTTTCGGAAATTTTTGTATTAGAATCGAATATTATTACGTTTCAAACGTGCCATAAATTTATCAAATATAATATTAACTAATTTTTCTATAGAATGTCAATTCGAGTTGGAGCATTTAAAGTCGGTGTGTGAGATATTGATGATTTCATTGGTCAATAAATACATTTAAATGAATTATCTTTCGAACTTTTGGTTCGAATTATCTTTTCCGAGAATTTTGAGAATGATACATTTGTACATTACTTCCAACTTCTTAATTCCTCCCCATAATGTTGAAAGAATTTTCTAATCAAATTGATAATTAACAAATTGTTTTACAAAATATCACTCGTTAGTGCTTGAAATATTATATAAGGGCTCAAATTGCGCATTTCTTCTCATCATTCCGTACTTCTCATCTCAGTGCCATGTGGTGTATTAATTACATATATATTGTACTATCAAATAATTAGATGAAGAAATCAGACTCTGACCATAAGCCAATTATAATATGGAGAACTATGATATTGGCATGATACGTAATAGCATTCCATAAACAAAAATGGAAAGTACAAAATGACTAAGAAATTATCGAATGCGTTTAACAAGCAATAATATTAAAACCATTCACCGATATCCCAACTAATACTTATTAAAATGTTGAGATTTAATCTCACTAGTATTAACAAGACACATTGTCTTGATTGTATAATATGAAAATTATACTCATAACTTAAAATTTGAGCAGTAATTTTACAAATTTTAGGTTGTGAACAATATGCAATCATTTGGTATATGTAACAAATCTATTAGATACAAATAATATTTAGATGGTCAACGTGAAGGATGATGTATCACATTTATTACTCTAATTAATTTTCAAAAATATAAGGAATTTAGCCCTTATTTTAGCTAGTTGCAATCAATGATCAATTTTCAAAAACAAACATCATATAGGAATTCTTTGGATTGAAAAATCTTCCGATTCTTCATTAAATGTTCATTTGAATTTTTAACTTCACATCATCATTAATCCAGTGATGGTCTAACTGAACATGCCAAACAATAAAATATAAGGGTCCGTTTGATTGCAAGAATGGAAAATGGGTGGAAAGAAAATGAATTCTAGGGAAAGCAATTGCCTAAAAATTGTTTTGTAGAGAATTGGAAATTAAGAATGTTTGATTGACATAATTTTTCACCCGAAAAATTTTTAAATTTTGTTTTCGTTTGGCTTTATTTTACATGAAAATTGTCCATTAAAGTGATAATTTTTTCCACAATTGGTTATAAAATTTGTTTCCATTGCTAAAAAGTAAAAAAAAAAAAATGAAAATTCATTTTTCCCTAAAAAATCATTTTTTTATCAAAATTTAGTGTTCGTTTACATCAAAATTGTTCATTAAAGTGAATTTTTTTAAAATTGATTATGAAATTTGTTTCTATTGTCCAAAAAAAAAAAAAAATGAATTTGGACGGTTTCCTCAATTCCAAAGAAATGGTGCACATGTGAGGTTAAAGGTGGACGGTTTCCTCAATATTTTTCAGGAATATTGAAATAAATATATTATTGTTTCTTTATAAGCAATTTAATTAAAATTTCAACTCTCTATGATCAATACTATATTTACATTAAAATGCCTAAATTGTGATTTTAAAAAAAATAACAACATAATATTCTTCAAAAATATTAATAAATATAAAATTGTGTGCTTCTTTCAGAGCAACACAATATTCGTCAAGAATATTGATTTGTATTAATTAATTCAAACAATTCTACAATATTCTTATGAAATATTTAAATGTTTGAATCGTATTTGTTCCGAAATAACAATAATATCTTACTTTTTCAGGAGTAATAAGATATTATTATTTACAGTAATAAATTATGTAAATATTTATTATTTAGGAGTAAAAACATAATTTATGTTAGATTTTATATTATTAGTTTCTTTGAGAGCGAGTAAAATCTAACTAAAATATTAATGGAATTATAACGTGTTACTTCAAGAGCACATTATATTTTACTATTTTTTCTTTAAGAGTAATATATAAATATTTTTTTGGAATGTTGAAAATTAC